AGTAGGGGGGCTGTTGGAAGCAGTAAGTGAAACACTGTACACATGGCATACTTAGAGCAGCATCAAGGACGTGCAAATGGAAGGTGTTACTAAACACACATTCAGGGAAAATAACAGAAACATTTCACACGGTATCACAATCAATGGGCGGAGCGCCTGAGCGTGCCTGGCACCGGAGTGACCCTGGCCAGCTTGCGGGTGGCCACAAGCATCCAGACACCTCAGGGGGGGACACCTGGGGCCAGTCTGACCTTGCAAAGAAGCCCCTTCCCACGGTTACCAAAGACTCGATAAAAGAATAAAACAATAAAAACACACACAAAAGCAGAGAAGGGCCCTCCATGTTCGGGGCGGAGTGGCGTCCTGGGCTGGGAAGCGGGTGTGTTCAGCACAGGGACATGGGAAAGGACAAGCAGGTCAGACTTCAGCACAGTCCTTTACTCCCGGACGGATGCTTTGGGGTACAGAATGCGAAACGCATGGCACATGAAGGGAACGACACCCACAGTCCTGGGATAGAGCCCCCCTTTCCTACTCCCCCGCTGCTGACTAGAGTGAGCGCAACGCTGGGGTGAGGAGTCTACAGGGAAGGCGACTTGCTTTCACAGCTCTGCAGCCTCTCGGTGCCGTGCAAGAACCTGGCAAATATAAAAGGATCCAGGATTACTCAAGGTCAGAGACAAGCACTTGCCCCGCTGGGACTGGCAGCAGACACTGTGGTAAAGAGGCCTCCCTCTGAGGCGGGGCAGCACAGGGCCAGCAGCCAGAGGCCTGACCCATTTTAGCTCTTAAAGTGGCATCTCAGGCCTATGTTCACCCCCAGGGCAGCACTCTGCTTGTGGAGAGTATTTTTATCTTACGAAAAATGTGGCTGACCTTTAAATAAAAGGTCTAAGGCGACTTTTTCAGCTTCTAAGGCAAGTTGGCTAACATCCAAAGGATGATCAGCTGCAATCAACTGACACCAGCAGGAGGTCCCAAAGCAACACCAACCTCCGTGTCCACAGAACAGTAACGTGGCAGAAGGTGGGAAGCAAAGGCCATGCACAAGCCAGCAACCCAGAAGCGTGCTCTCTAGCGTGGAGAGTCAGTTCAGGCTCCACACAGGCTTGTTAACCCTGGGGACAGACAGACAGGCAGACAGACAGACAGGCAGGCAGACACAAAAGCACTGGGCTTTCCTTCTCCCCTTCCGGGCAAAGAGCGGACGGCGAGTGCAGAGCCTGCAGGGGTGTCTGGAGGTGGGTGTGAGAGCTATGAGGACTGTAGCAGGAAGGGCCGGAAAGCTGATGAGCAGACAGGGAGCGGTCAGAGCAGCCCCCGGGGAGGGCGGGGGGCACAGAGGCCATCAGAAGACAGGACGGGGGAGCTGTGCAGGTGCTGTGGAGGCAGGTGCTGTGGGGCAGGTGCTGTGGCGGCAGGTGCTGTGGGGCAGGTGCTGTGGTGGCCGGGTCAGGAAGCAGTTTCAACTATTAGCCACTGTTTTCTCTCTGAGGTTGATGGTGAGGGTATCTGCCGACAGTGAGGAATAAAGGAGTGAGTGCAGGTGTTTAAGGAGAACAAATACAGCTGAAGCGCTCTGCGAGGACCAGCGAGAGCCGACCAGGGAACGGGCTCTGCGGCACCCGGAGGCAAGAGGAACCAGAACTGCCTGGCAGCAAGAGCGAAAAGCAGCAGCAGCAGCAGAGTCACACCTCTACTCGGTGCCAGAGACCGGAGACCCGAGAGGAAGGGCAGGGTGCCCAGGCAGAGGGGCACAGTGAGCAGCGGCACCAGAGTTCATGTGAAGGTGCGCGAGAGGGATCTATGAAGAGGAGGCCGGAGAAGACTGTAGTAAAAATGAGTACGTGTGCAGCCATGCTCTAGGCCAATCTCCACTGGAGACACCCACAATGGTTACAGTTATGTGCGGGGGTGTGGGGTGTGTGTGTGTGGGGGAGTGCTCCTGGCATCTACGGGCTGGAGCCAGGGATCCTGCTAAATACCCTGCAGGGCTCACAACACCCCCCCCCCCCCCCCCCCCCCCCCCCCCCAGAAACCCAGCTCCAGGCCGGCTGTCACCCTGGGTCCCACAGCATGTTCTCAATGCGGTTGATTTTTATTAAACCCAGAGCCGTGCACTGTTACCATCTCAGTGAGGTGACATGTTTTGCTGAGCAGGGTGTGCAGTGTAGCTTGGAGAAAGCTACGACTGAAGATGTAAGTGTAACAAACAACCTGCTCCAAAGCAGAAAGGGCAGCGCAGAAGTGAGCGGTGCCCTACCTATGGGTGTAAAGAAATGCTGTCAAGTTTGCCAAAATTCTGATACCAAAAACAGAGCACGGCCCTGGCCGGTGGTTCAGTGGTTAGGGCGTTGGCCTGCGCACCCGGAGGGTTGTGGGTTTGATTCCCGGTCAAGCTCAGTTGCAGGTTCAACCCCCAGCCCGGGCTGGGGCACATGCAGGAGGCAATCAATTGATGCCTCTCTCTCTCTCACATTGATGTTCCTCTCTCTCCCCTCTCCTCCCTTCCCTTTTACTCTCTCTAAAAATCAATGGAAAAAATATCTTTGAGGGAGGATTAACCAAAATAAATAAATAAATAAATAAAGCAGGGAACAGCTGACCATGCTTTACCACGCATCCTGCGGCCTTTTCCTGATTGGCGTTTGCTCTCACCCCATGCTTCAGGCTGTAAGTGACTACACAGAACAGAACACTGGAAATGCATAACTTAATTTCCATAGGACAGCTCACATTTAATTTTATAGATTTATCTTCATATGTAAAGTAGGTATTCTTAAGTTCCACGATCTTTTAAAACAGATATTTCTAGGCTCAAAATAGACCACTTTGTGAATAAGTAAAATAATACCAGTAGTTCATGGAGACAAGCCCTGTTAATTATTTTATTCATTCCCATCTGGCGTTATTAGTGGCGTGGGGTTGAGGGGATGTGTTATAAAGCAAGGGAGAAGGAAGAGAAAAAAATTTTTGATTTTAGGCTTCTCAATAGGTACTTCCCTATTCTTCCAATCAATAGTTGGACAGTGTATCTTCATGTTTCACATTCCCAGGCATGGGGAGCACCATGCAGGGACTGACACGCTAACAGAGAATGTGCTCCCGTTAGGCGCCGAAGTGCAGGTGCACGCCTCCTTCTGAGACAGGTCTGCCCTGTGCCAGGGGCCCAGCATTGAGCAGACCTCCGTAGCTGCTCTGCCATTCCTTCTTTTTAAAAAAATATATTTTTATTGATTTCAAAAGCAAGGGAGAGGGAGAGAGGAGACAACCCGTTAATTATTTTATTCATTCCCATCTGGCATTAGAGGCGCGGGGTTGTGGGGATGTGTTATAAAGCAAGGGAGAAGGAAGAGAAAAAAATCTTTGATTTTAGGCTTCTCAATAGGTACTTCCCTATTCTTCCAATCAATAGTTGGACAGTGTATCTTCATGTTTCACATTCCCAGGCATGGGGAGCACCATGCAGGGACTGACACGCTAACAGAGAACGTGCTCCCGTTAGGCGCCGAAGTGCAGGTGCACGCCTCCTTCTGAGGCAGGTCTGCCCTGTGCCAGGGCCCAGCATTGAGGAGACCTCCGTAGCTGCTCTGCTATTCCTTCTTTTTAAAAAAATGTATTTTTATTAATTTCAAAAGGAAGGGAGAGGGAGAGAGAGATAGGAACATCAATTATGAAAGAGAATCATTGATCAGCTGTCTTCTGCATGTCCCCTTACCGGGGATTGAGCCTGCAACCCGGGCATGTGCCCTGACCAAGAATTAAACCCTGACCTCCTGGTTCACAGGTCAACGCTCAACCACTGAGCCACACTGGCTGGGCAGCTCAGCCTTTTCTGAATAGCATGGCATTGGCAGGTACTGTTGTCTTCACCACCCTCCATGGGGAGAAAACACTGACCCCTTACAGGAGACTGGAAACGTGAACTGCACAGAGCAGAGCACCTGACCCGGAGACGGCATGCAGCGCCCATCCAGCCCCCTCTGCATGACCAGGTTCAGAAAAGGACAACCGAGGTCCCTAGGCTCTGGCACCCCGCCCACTGCTGAGGCATTATCAGAGGGACTAGGGACGTGCAATGATTCAAGGAGAGGAATGGTGGCTAGTTTTGAAACCCACAGAATTCACAGAATTAAATATTTTTGACCTTCGTGCTTTTTAGACTACAAAAGTGGCCAGAGGTCGTGCCCTTGTGTTTCTCATAACCAGAGAAACCTTGTGCAATCAGCTCTGGCTGGCAGCACAGCTCGCCACTGACTGCAGGTCCCACTCCGTGCAGGTGCAGCGGCCTCGGCCTGCAGGAAAGCCCGGCTCAGGCGGCGCGGAAAGCAGCCGGCATCCCCACTCTGAGGGAGACATACACGTCACCACCAGTGTTTTGTTAAACCGAGGAGGCTGACATACTTGCAGGGGAGAACCCGGACAACGTCATTCTGCTTATAGCTCTCTATGCAGACGGCACAGTGATCGAAGTCTGGGTCTGTTTCCTGAAACGCAAAGCATAGGAACCAAAGTCACACAGCGAAAAATGTATAAACCAGGAGAAACAATTCAGACAAGAACCTTCCTGTGGCAACTCTAGGAAATGAGTGATTATAAAGTGAAAGGTTATAAAAACAATTCAATGTTTCTATTTGCTTAACTATATCAACCCAAATTATATCTACACCAACCTACTTTGTCTTTATACTATGTTGTAACAATTCATACTAATTCTGTCTGTGTAATATCTTAGAAGTCGGAATTCCAATTTCCCCTACAACACATCATCTGTGCACTGTATTGTGTTCACCACCCCGTCAAGTCTCTGTCCCTCACTGTTTACCCCTCCAGGCCCTCTTCTATCCCCCCTTCGCCCCCCGAATTCTAATTTTTAAAAAAAAATATATTTTATTGATTTCTTACAGAGAGGAAGGGAGAGGGATAGAGAGTTAGAAACATCGATAAGAGAGAAACATCGATCAGTTGCCTCCTGCACGCCCCCTACTGGGGATGTGCTCACAACCAAGGTACATGCCCTTGACCGGAATCGAACCTGGGACCTTTCAGTCCGCAGGCCGATGCTCTATCCACTGAGCCAAACTGGTCAGGGCGAATTCTAATTTTTTTAAAGATTCAAATGAGCTGTCACCCTGGCCATTTTCCTGTCTTCTTCCCCAGTCCCGCTGCATCCTATTCTGGTCTAGGAGGTGCCACCGCACACCAGGAGTCGCCTGTGGCTAAGTGCAGGCAGAGAAGACGACGAGCCCCAGAAGCTGGCTCTCCAGAAGCCCGCCCCAAGGTTGGTCGCAGACTTGGGGTAGAAAACTCAGGCTCCACTTGATACTGGGTCTTTATCCAGACTCAGGCAGACTCAGCCAGGTATTGGTTCATCCAGAACAACGATGTCCTTCCTGCTCTGGTTTGGGGACGGGTTTCCCTGATTTGTCATTAAACAGAGCATTTCCAAGAACCTAAGCCAGGAAAGGTGACACTGTTTGTTGTGTCACCGCCACGCGGACTGGAACTCAGGGGTGAACTCGTGGCAGGTCTAGAAGACATACACTGAGAAGAGGTGTTGGTTCTAACGAGGAAGGAGTGCTCTGTGCTACCCTGAGAAGCAAGGCAGGATGAAATTAATGTGGCAGCTGAAGACCAGGCCACGAGAGCGCCCAGGTTACAGTGCAGCTGTTATCATGCTGCTTACATTTTCTGCAAGTGGCTTTACTCTTTTCTTTCCCGAGTGTACAGTAAAGTTTACTGACATGTCTCCACCTTCAGGAGCTGTGTCATGAAAAATCAAATGTGGTGGTGTGAAGGCAATAGGAATAAAAGGGAGTCCAGGCAATGCAGTGGTAAAACCGAGGTTGGACAACAGCTGAATGATCCTTCCAGAACTCTTCGCTGAAACATGAGCGTGGGTGTGGGGCAGAAGGTGATTGGGCTCTATGCTTCCGGAGATGCAATTTTTTTCATTCTAGATAACAGTGACTGTACGGCATCAGGGTCTAAGTTTAAGTTGCTGTTCTGTCCTCACGGAGCAGAAGCAGGGCTGTTAACCGAGACTCCCCTGAAATCTGGACCTCTAGGTTTCCCAGCTGTTATGCTGCTTACATTTTCTGCAAGTGGCTTTACTCTTTTCTTTCCCGAGTGTACAGTAAAGTTTACTGACAATGTCTCCACCTTCAGGAGCTGCGTCATGAAAAATCAAATGTGGTGGTGTGAAGGCAAGAGGAATAAAAGGGAGTCCAGGCAACGCAGTGGTAAAACCGAGGTTGGACAATAGCTGAATGATCCTTCCAGAGCTCTTCGCTGAAACATGAGCGTGGGTGTGGAGCAGAAGGTGATTGGGCTCTATGCTTCCGGAGATGCAATTTTTTTCATTCTAGATAACAGTGACTGTACGGCATCAGGGTCTAAGTTTAAGTTGCTGTTCTGTCCTCACGGAGCAGAAGCAGGGCTGTTAACCGAGACTCCCCTGAAATCTGGACCTCTAGGTTTCCATTTAATGTTAAAGAAATAAAACACAAAGGAGACCTGGCGAAGTCTGAGAAAGCACAGCAAAAAATCTGCAAGAGAAAGAGAGTTAGTTGATCTCTACAGAAACATTTCAGGCCAGAAAGGATTGGCAGGAAACATCAAAGTGATGAAAAGCAAGGACCTACAACTAAGACTGCTTTACCCAGCAAGGCTATCATTTAAAATTGAAGGAGAAAGAATAAGAAACTTCTCAGAAAAGAAAAAGCTAAAGGAGTTTATTACCACCAAACAAGTATTACAAGAAATGTTAAAGGGCCCGCATTAAAAAGAAGAAAAACCAGAAGACTAAAAGAAAAATAAAATGGCAATAAATATGTACTTATCAACAATCACTTTAAATGTAAATGGCTTAAATGCTCCAAACAAACAACAACAAAAAAAAAACATAGGGAAGCTAAATGGATAAGAAAACAAGACCTAGATATATGCTGTCTGTAAGAGACCCACCTCAGAACAACAGATACACACAGACTGAAAGTAAAGGGATGGAAAAAGATATTTCATGCAAATGGCAAAGGCAAAAAAAGCTGGAGTATCAATACTTATATCTGACAAAACAGACTTTAAAACAAAAGCTATAGTAAGATACAAAGAAGGTCACTATCTCTGTTATAAAACCCCCGTGGCCATGGCACCATCACACCGTAACGACCAAACGCCAAAGGCACCTGCTGAAGGTCATATTTTCTTCATGGGAACAAGGAAGTGTTGCTCTGTTCAATTCTCATCTTCTAACGGAGGTCAATTTAAGTGCTCCTGAGAAGGAACGGTTAGGGCAGGAAACTATTCTTATCTCCGTTCACAACTGTCTTCAAGGTGGGCGGGTCTGCGTGCGCAGTGAGGCGCGCATGGGTGGGTGGGGACTTGACACTGGGTCCCACGGTGCGCCGGGTCTGGGTCTTGCTCGATTTCGCGCAGTGGGCCTCTAGTATAATGATAAAGGAAGCAATCCAACAAGAGGATATAATCCCCATAAACATTTATGCACCAAAATATAGGAGCACCTAAATATATAAGGCAAATCATGATGGACATAAAGAGAGAGATCAACAGTAATGCAGGGGATTTCAATACCCACTGACATCAATGGATAAGTCTCCTGGACGGAAAATCCACAAGGAAATAGTGGCCTTAGATGACACACTAGATCAGATGGATTTAATTGATATTTCCAGAGCATTTCACCCCAAAGCAGCAGAATATACATTCGTTTCAAGGGAACATGGAACATTTTCTAGGATAGACCACATACTAGGATACAAGCATCTTTTCTGACCATAATGGTATGAAAGTAGAAATCAATCACAAAAAAACCTGAAAAACATACAAAGACATGATTGGGTTAACAGTGAGATCAAGGAAGAAATCAAAAGATAACCCTGAAACAAATAAAAATGAGAACACGACAACCCAAAATCTGTGGACACAGGGAAAGCAGTCCTAAGGGGGAAATTGGTAGCATTACTGACCTATCTCAAGAAACAAGAACAATCGTGCCCTGGCTGGTGTGGCTTAATTGGTTGAGTATCATCCCGTGTACTGAGAGAACTCCAGTTCGATTCCTGGTCAGAGCACACGGCCAGGTTGTGGTCTCATTGCCCAGGAGGGGTTGTGCAGAAGGCAGCCAATAGATGTTTCTCTCTTTCCCTCTCCCTTCCTCTTGCTCTCAAATCAATAAAAACATATATTAAAAAAAAGAGAAACAAGAAAAAGCTCAACTAAACAATCTAACTTTACACTTAAAGAAACTTGAAAAAGAACAAGAAATAAAGCTCAAAGTCAGTAGAAGAAAGGAAATAGTAAAGATCAGAGCAGAAATAAACAAAATAGACTCTAAAAAAAAATTCAGCCTGGCCAATGTGGCTCAGTGGTTGAGCCTTGACCCAGAAACCAAGAAGTCACCGGTTTGATCCCCAGTGGGGGGCGTGCAAGAGGCAGTCAATGATTCTCTCTCATCATTGATGTTTCTACCTTTCTCTCTCTCTCCCTTCCTCTCTGAAATCAATAAAAATACATTTAAAAAAATACAAAAGATCAATGAAACAAAGAGTTAGTTCTTTGAAAAAATAAACAAGGTTGACAAACCTTTAACCAGACTCATCAAGAAAAAAAGAGGACTCAAATAATTAAAATCAGAAATGAAAGGGAAGAAACAACTGACACCAAAGAAATACAAAAGACTAAGAAAATAAAAGCTGTGGTATGTTTACACAATGGAATACAACTTGGCTGTAAAAAAAGAAGGAAATCTTACCCTTTGCAACAGAATAGATGGACACGGAGAGCATTATGCTAAGTGAAATAAGTCGGTCAAAGAAAGACAAGTACCATATGATTTCACTCATATGTGGAATCTAACGAACAAAATGAACTACAATAGACATTCTCATAGTAGAGAGCAGGCTGACAGCTTGTGGGTGGGTGAAGGGATTGAGTAAAATAGAAAAAAGAAACACGTATGGACACAGACAACAGAGAGGTGATTGCCAGGGGTGGGGGCAGTGTTGGGGGTGATAGAGGAGGGTATAGGGTGATAAACTGTGATGGACAGAGACTTGATTTGGAGTGGTGAACACCCAATACAGTGTACAGATGATGTATTACAGAATTGTGCACCTGAAACCTGTATAATTTTGTTAACTAGTGCCATCCCAATAAATTCAATAAAAAAGAAAAGAAAAAAAGAAAGTAGAGCAAGACAACACATGTTCCTGGCTACTTGGTGCATAAACAGCTCCATCAGAGTTCTTCCCCAAAGGATGCTAGGTGTTGCAGAAGAAAATGTTGTTGAATATCCTAAGTAAGGTAACTGTAAGTCATCGGTAAGCTATTAATAGCAAGCGCATTTACAGTCCAGGAAAGGTAGAGAACTACACGAGGGTCTCCAAATGGCAGGCATAATGAGAATAAGATTTCAGCCCGGCCGGTGTGGCTCAGCAGTTGGTTCAATGTCGACCTATGAACCAGGAGGTCACAGTTCGGTTCCTGATGAAGGCACATGCCCAGGTTGCGGGCTTGATCCCGTGTGGGGCGTGCAGGAAGCAGCCTATCAATGATTCTCATCATTGATGTTTCTATCTCTCTCTCCCTTCTTCTCTGAAATCAATAAAAAAAAATATTAAGATTTCAAAGAGAAGCTAGTTTAAAATAAAGCCTTAGAGTATAGACCAGCCGTGGGCAAACTACGGCCCGCGGGCCGGATCCGGCCCGTTTGAAATGAATAAAACTAAAAAAAAAAAAGACCGTACCCTTTTATGTAATGATGTTTACTTTGAATTTATATTAGTTCACACAAAAACTCCATCCATGCTTTTGTTCCGGCCCTCCGGTCCAGTTTAAGAACCCATTGTGGCCCTCGAGTCAAAAAGTTTGCCCACCCCTGGTATATTCTAACAAATGAGACACAATTGATATATTCTCTCCCACTAAATCAAAAGCAAATCTACATTGTTTTAATAGTGTTAAAGTTACTTCATTACTGTACCTTATCACCCTTCTTCACTGTTCTGGTTGTCAATTTGCTGATGGCTTTCTTGGCTGCATCTCCAAGACGACGCTATGGACATTGCAAAGAAAAGTAGACATTAAGTGCAAGAGCTCTGAATAATGTTCTTTACTTTAAAATAATTAAATGTATAAAGTCCCTATCTACATCACTCTCCATGTCACAGCATATGAGAGGGCTCTAAAAGAGAATTAAAAGTTAGAGAAACTGGCAGTTTTCCTATAGATTCAGTATTCTGGTTGAATAATTAAAAAGGGAATATAGCTAAAGGGCCAGATGGCATAATCACTACTGCGTTTTGTATTCAATAAGCATTGGGAATATTCCAGCATTATCAAAATCTACTTGTTGTACATGTCAGAGCTCCCAATAGTTTTTTCATTCTGCTCCATGGACGCCCACTGTTAGATGTTTAAGCTCCGTCTTGGTGAAAGGAAACCTCCAATGCTCCTTGAAATAGCTCATCACATTACCCGGGTGGGAGAAGGACGTGGTCATGAATCCTACCTCTGCCTCTGTCACTCCGTGCTCTGTCATCTGAGGAAGGTCTATTTACCTTTCCAGGGTTGAGTCATTTTCATTTATCCGAGAGGGTTAAGTCAGAGAATCTCTAAGGCTGGACTGATGCAACATTTTGCCAGGCATTGAGAGCTAGCACTGCCAGATACGGAGAACCCAAAGATGAAAAGACAGTGGACCTCTGATCTCGCAAAGCAAACGGAATTGGGGCCAGCCCAGTACAATAGCGCGTGCCCCCGGAGCATGGCAGCGCCACGCTGAGGCAGGCCCGAGGGGAGAGGGCCGAGGAGCCGTGCAGGGGAGGCGCTGAGGAAATGCCGCCTGAGGTCAGGCTGGGAAAACGGGCAGGAAGGAGTCAGATAAGGAAAAGCGTAAGGGTCACCAGGGCGATTCCGACAAAGAAGAACCTAGTGAAGACAGACAGTGTGACGTGCGGGCACGTGAAGGGAGTTACAGGTCAACACAACCAGGCTGAGCACCACTTCACTGTTCAGATTAGAATGCTTGGGAGCCAGAGGCCCTACTAATAATTACCCGGGACAATCGGTGCAAACGGGCACCTGGGGACAAATGGTCACTTGACCCATAGCCAGATTCTACACTGTGGGGATCAGAGGAGGAACACCTTGGGTTCTGTCCTGAGGATAAACAAAGTCATAAAAACATAAAAAAATTAGGGGTAATTAAAAATATGCAAAGAAAATAATTTAATGAACTTCTTTGCACCCACAAACCAGCTTCAATGATCATTATTTTATCTATATTTTTCAGCTATTCTCCCTCTTTATTGTATGAGAGGTTTTCAAAGCACATCACAAGCTTGTATAATTTCACGTATAAAGCCTTCACTATATTTAACAATGGGCTTTCATTTGGTGTCACTGTCTTATCTAACAAAATTAACAATAATCAATCAACCTCAACAAATACTCAGACTATACTATAATTTTCCTAGTTGTCTCCAGAATGTCTTTTTATAGTTAGCTTGTTTGAATCAGGATATGAAGTCCAAACACTGCATTTGGTTGCTATGCCTCTCAAGTAAGTCTCTTTTAATATATAGGAGTCCCCTCCATAATATATGTATATAAAAAATATAAATGTATATATAAATGTATATAGAGAGAGAGAGCCTCCAGATGTTTTATATCCTATATAATAAAAGCGTAATATGCAAATTGACCTAATGGCAGAACGACCAGTCGCTATGATGTGCACTGACCACCAGGGGGCAGATGATCAACACAGGAGCTGCCCCCATCCCGCAGGCCCTGATCGCCGGGGCTGGCGAGCGGGCGGGAATGGCCAACCTCTTGGTCCCTCCCCCGACCAGCAGGCTCCAACTGCCTGATGGTGAGCAGGGAACCGGGGGTGGGTGGCAGTGGGGGGCAGAGCCGGCAGCTGGGGAAGATGGCCCTGATCTCAGGCCAGGCCTAGGGACTGTACCCCGTGCACAAATTTTATGCGCCGGGCCTCCAGCATAAATATATATGTAGATAAATATCAGCCTCATGGAGGTATAACTGACTTGTAATAAACTGCATATATTGTGTACAATGTGACGTTTTTACATGATCCAAAAAACTGTCACTATGATCAAGATAGTGTATCTAGCTCTAGCTGGTTTGGCTCAGTGAATAGAGTGTCGGCCTGCACACCAAAGGGTCCTGGGTTCAATTCCAATCAAGAACTGGTACCTAGGTTGCAGGCTCCTCCCAGGCCCTGTTCGGGGCTTGTGCAGGAGGCAACCAATCAATGTGTTTCTCTCACATCGATATTTCTGACTTATTTTCTGCTACTATACCTGCATTTTCATGAGTTTTACATAAAGGGGATGATATTTACATTTATTTACATAGATGGAATGTACTACTTTGTGTATGGTTTCTTTTACTCAGTATAACTATCTTGAGATTAATCATGTTGCCGCATGTATCAACAGTTCATTTTTCTCTTATGCTATGCAGTATCCTACTATGCAGTATCCCACTATACAGATATACTGCAATTTACCTTTTTACCTGTTGATGGGGCATGAGTACTATTTTCCAGATTAAAAAAACAACAACTTCCCCCAAAGAGTGAGGATATTTATTGGAGAGAGAGAGAGAGAGGGAGAGAGAGAGAGAAACATTGATTTGCTGTTCTATTCATTGGTTGATTCTTATATGTTCCCTGATCGAGAATCAAACCTGCAACCTTGTTGTATCAGGACAACACTCTAACCCAGCGGTCGCCAACCTTTCGGACTTCACGGACCACCAGTGGTCCGCGGATCACCAGTTGGCGACCGCTGCTCTAACCAACGAAGCTACCTGGTGTTCTTAGAGAAAAATCAATAAAGTTGGTAAGCCTCTGGCCAAACTGATAAGGGGAAAAAGAGAGAAGGCATAAATCAGCAATATAAAAAAAGAGAGACCTGGCCAATGTGACTCAGTGGTTAGAGCTTCGGCCCCTGCACCAAAGTGTCATGGGTTCGATTCCTGGTCAAGGGCACATACCCGGGTTTCGGGTTTGATCCCTGCCCCATTGGGACGAATGGGGAGACAACCAATCGATGTGTCTCTCTCACATCGATGTGTATGTATCTCTTTCTCTCCCTTTCCTTCTACTCTCTCTAAAAATCAATGGGAAAAGTAGCCTTGGGTAAGGATTTAAAAAAAGAGAGAGAGATAATATCACTGCTGATTGTAAGGATCATAAAGGGAGTATTATGAACAACTCAATGGACAAATTTCAGGAAAGACACTAATGACCAAAGCTTACTCAAGATGAACAGATAAATTAAATAGCCCCATATTACTCAAGGAAATTGCACTTGTAGTTTAAAACTTTTCCCCCAAAAGAGAACTCCAGGCAGATGGTTTCTGGGTATTTCTAACAAACATTTAAGGGGGGAGGGGAACTCTACACAAACTCTAGAAAATGGAAAAGGCAGGAATACCTCCCATTTTCTTCTGTGAAGCCAGCATCATCCTGATACCAAAACTAGAAAAAAGCATGCCAGGACAGAAAGCTACAGACCAGAATCCCTCTTGAACATAGATGTAAAAATTCAAAAAAACCCCTCAGCAAATTATATTTAACATATATGAAAACGGTAATTCATCATGACCGGGTGGGGTTTATCTCAGGAATGCAAGCCTGATTCAACATTAAAAAGTTAATCGAAGGCCCTGACCGGTTTGGCCCAGTGGATGGAGCGTCGGCCTACAGACTGAAGGGTCCCAGGTTCGATTCCGGTCAAGGGCATGTACCTTGGTTGCGGGCACATCCCCAGTGGGGGGTGTGCAGGAGGCAGCTGATTGATGTTTCTCTCTCACTGATGTTTCTAACTCTCTATTCCTCTCCCTTCCTCTCTGTAAAAAATCAATAAAATATATTTTAAAAAAGTTAATCAAAGGAGACATATGTAAAACTTTAGACAATAAATAAATTAAAAAAAAATTAATCGATGTCATTTGGCATATAAACAGATAAAGGGAACCATATGATCTTTGTAGATGAAGAGAGGAAATTTTGCCAAAATTAAACATCAATTCTGGATTTTAAAGCTTTTAGCAAAACAGGAATAAAAGGTAGCTTCCTTATGCTGATGAGAGCACCTAAGAGAACTGACAGCTGTCATCATACTTATGGTGAAGACTAAACACTCTTTCCGAAGATGAGGAACAGAGATCTGTGCTCTGACTTTTATTTCTACATTGTACTAGAGGTTCTGACCAACACAACAAGGAAGAAAGAAAAGAACCATTATTAGAAATGAAGAAGTAAAACTGTATTCATACACAGATGATATTACTGTCTATGTAGAAAATTTGAATAAGTCTCTTAAAAAGCTGCTAGAACTAATATGGGTTTGGCAAGGCGAGAGATACAAGATCAGTATACAAAAATCAATTTTATTTCTATATAAGCAATGAATGGGAATTGACTGTTTTTAGGATATCATTGTCATTAGCTTTTGTTAAATGGAGTGTTCTACAAATGTCAATCAGGTCAAGTTAATTGATTATGTTATTCAAATCTTTTATAAACTCATGGACTTTCTTTCTACTTATTCTTCCAGTTATTGAGAGGGAGCATGGGAATCTCTGGCTATCACTGCAAGTTTACTTTTCACTGCAGTTCTATCAGTTTTCACTTTACTGGTATATTATCTTAAAGCTCTGCTATCAACTGTGCAAATGTTTAGGTGCAATATCCTCTTACTAAATTGACCACTTTACTATTAAGAAATGACTTCGTCCCTTGCAACAGCTTGGCTCTGAAATCTCTACAGTTCAACTTTATTTTGAACTAAATAAAGTGGCCTGGTGCACGAAATTTGTGCACGGGGTGTGTGTGTGTGCG